ACACCGTAGATCAAGCTGTGGCGATGGCTTTTGCCCATTGCCGCAGCAGTAACTACGTTCGGATTCAGGTATTTTGGAAAAAATGCTCCAGTGGTTAGTTTTTGATATTCGTACTTGTGATCCAATTGACTTGGTTTCTCTGATTGGTAATACTGCGAAATCGCGGAAAAGAAGTTGTTTTCGTTATGAAAACTAGCACATTAGCATATTTTCGATTGATTTAGTGGAATATGTGATTGGTGTAATCTTCCGTAGCTTACCAATCAGAACCCAAAGTTATTTGGTGTTATCTAAGTTCATTTCCAAATCCTAGTTATGTGGTATGTATGATGTAAACGGGCATAATAAATGGAATCGTAGAGTTTGGATTTGTACTTGTAGATTCTTAACAAGGGATCCGTGGAGTGGATTTGTGTTATAATTTAGTGACTAATTGATGGGTTTCTGTTCCAGGCGAATGGGTCGAGCTTAGGACCTTGCAGGCCAAACATAGACACAGACCCGAGTGGGAGCAATGTGAATATGCTGGTTGGAGTCGCGGAGGAGATGCTAAAACAAAAGAATGTAGAATCGGTTTTGTTTGGAGGTAAAAGAATCAATGGACAGAGCAATTTCGAGAAGCTTGACTGGTTAGCCGGGGAACTTGTTCTTGAGCATCAAAGGCGAAATTGCCGAATCGCTCCAACTGTAGCGTTCAAGCAATCCGTCCATAGGGCAGATCAGAAGACAAGGGACAAGGATATTGGTGTGACCGCAAGAGAACGATGATTAACAAGAAAAAGGTTGTTTGTTATTCTTGTTCTCTTTTTGGTTTATTTAGGTCTAATTTTTAGGATAAGGTTTTCTTTCTTTCTTCTCAGGTTATGATTTGTTGTATAGATTTGAGTTTGTGTTTTGAGTTCCGAGACAAGGAGAAAAAAGGAAACATCTATTATCATCTTGCAAAAAAGGGCTCATGCTTGCCAAGAAAAAACAACATGATTCTTGTAATTTCGGTTTTTGTCTGTTTTTCCTATACTATAATCATCACGATTTCTTCTTTGAAATTTTCCATTAAACTCGAGATCAGTTATTGACCACTTTAAGCAACCAAATGAATCAGGAGACCATGACCACCAATAATTACGCGAAAATGTATATACGTCACTAATCATGCGGAATGGTAGTAGGATAAATGAATTTAAAACGTAATTCCATAAAAGATTTGGTTGATAAAATCCGGCAACATCACAAGATTTTTCTACTATTCCACTATTTTAGGAGTTACTAATCAAATTATTTTTAATATGTGCAAGTTATCCAATATTAACAACTCTTGGAGCTCGAGACACGACACTATTAGTGACAAAAATAAAAAAGAAAGAGTCACAACTTCATATCGTTGATAATATTAAATAGTGGCTTCTACTATTAAACTTTGTCGGATTCTCTTCTAAAGTTCAAAGTAATGTGAACTTGGGGAGCCTCTAATGAAAAGAACGTATCAAGAAATTAATTATATGAACA